CTGAAATGAAAAAAACATCAAGCATAACATCTTATATCGCCCAGCTCTAGTATCGGATCAATTTGGATCTGTAAATCATGCAGATTAATGCCAGTAAACCCCCAGATTTAAAATAAAGACCTGGAAATGTGCAGGATATGTCCGCTTCAACTCTGTCATCAACTTGGCTCACGCTGGTCCTTGGAATCTGATTATTCCATGAATATGGGAGCAGTTTTCAGTTGGATATAATTGTGCCTTCTGTCTGTAGTAGCCAAGAAGAGATCCCTCCAAACTCAGTCACGACAATAGAAGAAAAGAGGAACAGAATCCAGAGTCTTTGTTCTGTGCAAAAATGCATTCAGGTGTCTCTAAAATTAAGCTTTCACACTCTGAGTGAACCAAATCAAATGGGAATTTTCCAGGATCACACCCTTTTTCCTCACAGAATTGATGTGTTTGTGTTTATCTGTTTTAGTTCTGCAGGGAAACACAGTCTGGGTAAACAAAGCGAGAATCTCACTTCATACTTGGACTATAAGTTTAGAATATACTCACTCGATTAGTCTCACATCAAGTTCGGCTGCACAGAATTCATTTTTAGCCATTGGTCACATTAGGATTCTTGAGACCGAGTGAGAACAAAAAGATCAATTAATGGGACCAAATGCTGCTTTAATGTCATACGAGCATGCTGGGAGGGGGGGAAGAGCAACCACTTCAAATGTTGATGAAAGCCAGTTTGGGACTGTTGCAAATCAAACATCCTGTATTCTTTAATCAGTGACGTAAACCTAGTAGAAGATAAACCGAAAGGAAGAAAAAAATGAATTTTGTAGCCTTAAGTAGCTTCAGAACTGATTTACTAGGCTAGAAGTGTTAACTGGGGGTATCTGGGGAAGAAAAGATTGCTTCAGACTTTAACCTTCTCTTCACTCGAGACAGCTCAGACTAAAAGGAGAAATTTTCTCTTCTCTCCACCGCGCAGCAGCCGCGTCTTATCTTAAATGTAAAATAGGTGGAGATAGCATTTAACAAAGCGGAAAAGCAGAGCGTGAGCGTGACCTTAAACTCGGGAAAAGAGTTCCCACGTGTTTTATCTCCTGTCGCAGAGCTGAACTTGCTCAGGAACGTCGAGGCCAACAACCAAGAGAGCGGATCGGCTGCCAAGAGCTCCAGTCTGCTGAGCAGCTTCCGCAGCACATCCAGCTACAACCACGAAACAGAGACCATCTTTGCACTACCCAGAATGCAGCTGGACTTTAAGTCAATTCACGTACAAGATCCGGATGAACCTTCTCTAACGGGTAGGTGACAGTAACACCATAAAAACAATCTGCTAATGAATGAGCTTTTTGTGATGTTTTAGTTCACACAAGTCTGTAAATGAACTGTTGGGATCACACTCGGAGTATGGGAGTGTTTATAAAATTACCTGCGCTTCCTTAAATAAATTAATAAATCAACGAATAATCAGCTCGTCTTGTTTGGAGCATCTGCATCCCAGCTCCGCCTTGCACTGCAGGAAGTGACGGCAGCCCTTCGCTTTGCTCCGCGAGCCTCAGATTCCTGTGACGGTGAACCAGTTCTCGCCCTGCTGCAGGTTCTTGTTAGTGCCCGTCTAGCTTGCAAAGCCATTTCAGAGCAAAACCAGCGCAGTCTTGTGGCAGTGTTTTCTTTGTTTTTGTTTTTTTTAATAGTTGCAGCCCGAATCTGTTTATTCGTATTTCTGAACAAGAACTTAATTATTTCATCGTGTCTCTGGACATAATTTGTACTATTATTTGTATTTCATTTTTGTCCTTATCCACATTTGGAGGTTGGAGGGATTCATACCCGACTCAGTTATTAATTCTAAATGAATTACTTGGTTCAATTTAGACATTAAAACTTGGTTGAGATTAAGGATTAAAACCTCCCAGGTTAGTTTTAGGGGAAAACAACCAAGGTTTAGGTTCCTGCTGCTTCTTACACATCTGGTTTTTGTAGTTGCTATGGTGACATATCTCCCACTTTGCCTGGACAACACAAATTGTACTCCCTACTGAAAAACATTACTTACAAATTCATGCTGACACACAAAAAAAAAAAAATCATAATTTTCTTTGTCAAAGAACAAAGAGTCAATCTGAGTAACACCGAGGACTCACACAGTCAGCAGCAATGGAAACTTCAAAATAAGAGCGAGGAGATTATCCCATTGAGTTGCATAATATTCTCAAGTATGTAGGAAACCAAAGGTCGTACTAACTCTACATCGATGTGTTTGCTGAAATTGATTTTCTGGGGTTTTTTTGTTTGTTTTTTTAAATATGACCTTACAAATCCAATCTCTGTGTTTTCATTTGTTCCAGACTCCAGCAGCAAACCCAAAGTGGAGTGCAGCGTGGTGACAGAGTTCACCGACCACATCTGCGTCACCATGGACGCCGAGCTCATCATGTTCCTGCACGACCTGGTGTCGGCTTATCTAAAGGAGAAAGAGAAAGGTTTTGTTTTTTCCATGTTACTCATCGATGTTAGTCTTTCAGTGAATAGAAAAAAAAGCCCAACAACAATGTTTATTCATTTCAACTGCCCACAAATTTATGACTCAACTAGTCACGAAAAAAACACCCTCCAGAGTTCCAGGCATTGTACAGTTTGTCAAGAATATGAGTCATCAAGCCATCGGAGGAGAAGACCACAAGATTAAGCACATCTGTCTGTCTCTGTACTTGTGAAGCTGTCCGCGTGCTGTGGGACAAATTTTTGGGAGCAGCGTGACACGCTGTTACTTTCACACACAGCAGCCAGGTCAGGGAGCCCGACGCGCGCAGCATCCTAATGGGTTTCAAGTCGTCACAAAGGAACAAATTAGCACTCTTTATGCCGGCGACCTCGCTTTCATCACCACAATTAAAACAGCCGTGACTTTGTTCTGTTGATTCTGCAGCAAAGTAGAAAGAGTAGCACTGCGAGCGCTTCAGATTTTCACACGTTTGATTCATTCTGAATAATTGAAGTAGGACGCATCTATGTTGTGCTCTGATGTTGTTGTTCACGAATGTGCTAAAAGAGAAAACTGGAGCGTTTCAAAGCAGAGACCTGATTGCCTCTCTCCCTCGGTGTTCTCAGCTCTTTTTGCCCCGCGGATGTTCGCACCTCGGCCCGGCCAGAAGAGCCCCACCGCCCTGCACGATGAAAGCTCTGCGGATAAAGACAAGGACGACAGCATCAACTACACCACGGTGGACTGGAGGGAGTTCATGTGCAACACCTGGCACCTGGAGCCGACTCTCAGGTCAGCTCAGCATCTGTTTGTTATTATAAGACGCACACTTTCACATGATGAGCAGGAGTCCTAAAGCTCACTCAAAAATGTTAGAGGAGAAAATAAAAAGCATCTTTTTCTACGAGTTTGTTCTCAAAGCAAACATGATTGCACAAACCAACAAAAACAAACAATGCAGCAAAGGTTTAAAAAATTGCTTTCATTTTCTGTTTAGTTAGTGTTTGTGCTGGAAACCATCAAGAAATGATTGTGCCGTTTCACCAAGATGTGGAACAGCTGAGCCCCAATTATGGCCTAATTTTGTTCTGTTTGTTGGATTTTTGTGGGTTTTATCATCTTGTAAAGACTCTTTGAATATTTTCGATTCCACAGAGATGCCGATGAGCTATTTAATGAGCCGGGTTGTAAAAAGTAAAAGTGCAATTAGCCCATTAAAAATGCAAGTTTTGAAATGAACAGAAAGATGCGCTGTCAGTGCTTGGTTATCTAAATGTTATATATCGATTTTTACTAATATTAGTAACTCTTCTATATGTGAAAAGCAATGTGTGAGGCTAGTTTAGGTGGAGCCAGTTAAAAATTAGATTCACATCAATGAATTTATAGCTGTATGATTAATAGCCCCAGTAATACAGTAGGAAAAAGACAGTATCATAGAGAGAACCCGACTCACGAACAGACGACCTCTGAGAAGGCACTTGCAGGTGATTGCAGGAAGGAAGAACTCCTTTATCACAGGAAGAAATGTCCTGCAGAGGCAGGCTCAGGCAAGAAGAGGAAAAAATAAGGACCAAACTCAAACTTCAGGAGAGAGAAGACCAAAGTTAATGACATGCAGAAGTAGAGAAGAAATGCTCAGTGGGAAGTCTCCCAGCAGCCTGAGCCTGTAGCAGCGTAACTAAGGGATGGTTAAGGGTCACCCGATCAGCCCTAACGATAAGCTTTATCAAAAAATAATGAACAGAGGTATAATTTCACAAATGGCCTGTACAGGATGAGCAATAACTTTGCAGTGCAGTATCTCTTATTAACCCCCTTAGCCTTTTTCAGATGCTAGTTCATAATTACTAATCGTTAGTCTTTTGTGAATTTGTACAAATGCAGCACAAACACTAAATAAATGAAGCATCTTAGTCCCTTCACAAAGACTTTGCTTCATTAATCCAGGAAAGAACAAAGATTTTAATTTTAAAAAAAGAATATTTTTGAATCTTTATATGAAATATTTTTGTACAAAGCAACAGCTTCCCCTCTGAGATTCAAAAGGAAGAAGCAAATCCTTTAATGGAAAGAGACGTGCAGCAACAGGGAGTCTTTTCATGCACCTTTAGCAATGCTTAAACTTCACCTCTACCTTCAGGCTCATCTCCTGGACGGGTCGGAAGATCGACCCAGTTGGCGTGGACTACATCTTACAGAAACTGGGCTTCCACCATGCCAGGACTACAATTCCCAAATGGCTGCAGAGGGGTGTGATGGACCCACTTGATAAGGTGCTGTCAGTACTCATCAAGAAGCTGGGCACCGCTCTGCAAGACGAAAAGGAAAAGAGAGGCCGAGACAAAGAAGAACACTGAGGAACTCAGTCATGCCACTGGAATCAGAGCTGTGCAAAATGTTTCAACACTAGTTGTCTGTATTTAAAAGGCCACTACTTTACGATGTCCAGCATCCTGCATAGTTGTTTACTGTGGTGCTTGCCTCTAGGGGTTGCGACTGAAGCGTTTTGCACTGCTGTTTTTCGTTTTCTGTACATTTTGAACAAATTAGCAAATGCTAGCATTATTTGATTGCTTTATGGGTAAAACCCTGCCTCTCTTACCTGTTGTAAATGACCTTACTGAAACCGCTTCAAAGTTTATTTTAAGGCTTACCAGTCGTTCATGAGAAATGATTTCTTAAACCATTGCCTTTTTCTCTGTTTCCCATGGAACACATGGTGGGTATGCTTGATGTCATTTATAGCGCAGCTTCGCGATATTTAAGAGGAATTCAGTGACGTGTTCTTCATTCTTGACACGAACAAATAAATCCTGGGAGATTTTTCTTAAAATCATCCCCTCACTCGTGAGGATGATATAAGCTTGTAATTATAATTTGATCATTATTTATGACTATGTGAAATTCAGCGTCTGTATGATGTATTAGCTTGATGTGTCAAGCTTCTTTGTCTTTTTTTTAATCCACACATTAGAACCAATGTATATAGTTAAATTTCTTAAATGTGTTGATTTCGTAACTTAATAAAACTATTGCCATGAAGTTTTAAAAAATAAAGCTCACGTCTGTTAATTTTACACAGCTTAAAGGTAGGTTACCTGTTCCATGAGCTTTAGGAGTTTTGTTGTAAATCACAACCACCAGTCCTGAGAGAAAAAGTGAGTTTTCCCCAACTGGTTATGAGTGGTAGCTGGGAAACTGATTGCTAATGTCCCTGTAATCCAGGCCTACAGACCGCTCAGTGATTCCCTGTTAAACAGCTTTCATTGTATCCTCCATCCAATGTCCACATAATGTCACATGAGGCAGCTTAATAGAAGTCCATGGGAAAATATCCCTCAGCTCTAAAATCTTTAAACAGTTTCCAGATGACTTTATGGGTTCAGTCGCCGATATTTCATATCTTGTTTCAAGACCCCAAGATGCCAGCAGGACTTGATGGAGGGATGTCATTTCTACTGTCTTTGGTGTCTAGACCTGCCTCTAGATGGACTGGTTCACAATTGGATCCAGTTTAAGAAACAAAGCCCTTTTTTTTTACCCTTTAAATCATAGATTACATTTGGCCCGCGAAGCCATACCAAATTACTATTAGAGCTGGCCTACTGGTATTATACAGCTAATATATATATTGTTTAGTATTAAGCTTTGTTTGTTCCATATTCAGTTTTTCAGCAAAACGTGTTTGAGTCCATAAGAAAAGATTCATTCTTATATCTGGAGGAATAAATATATTTCAATAAACATTAATGTGAGCCCGCGACTTTGTTCCAGTTTTGAATTTTGGCCCACTGTGTATTTGAGTTTGACACCCCTGCTTTAAATGAAAGGGCAGCACTCCTTTTTTTTTTTTTTTTTTTTCGTGTCTAAAAGCCACTGACTCACGAGCACTCCATTCTCAGATCTATGAAATGCATCTTTTGTGTTGATACTTTTCCAGGAAATGTCAGTCAGGTGTTACAGGAGCAGTGTCTGATGCTTTTAAGTGCTTCACATGGTTTAAATCAGAGCTGTAATGGTATCTGCATTAATACATTTCCTTTCTTGAGGCAGTAATTTGCTTCACCTCTGGATTTTTGGAGGAGGTAATGAGTGCTCCTGTAAGACTCTTTGTAATTGAACTCCTACTAGTTTCCACTGATGTCTGTGAGGGGGAAAAAAAACCTCCCCACATGTCACCGGCTTTGCTCACCGCAGGGTTTTGTTAATACATTACTCTGACTGTAAGACCCCCTTCCCCACCTCTCCGGTGCTAATCTCTTCCTCCGTGCCTTTCCCCCCTCACCACCAGCCATGTTCCACTTTTGGTTCCATGCCATGCTTGTTGAATTTTTGATGGTGCGTTGGCGGGTGGAGCAGGGCACGCGGCAGCACAGCAAAGGGGGAAGAGAACTGCTGCGTTTCCTCTGTGATGTCTGCTGTGAGAATGCAGAAGTGTCACCTGAGGAAAGGCAGACCGCTCAGTATGAGAGCACACTCAAGTCTTTGGTCTCGCTCGCCAGGACCGGACATTATTTTTGATTTTTTATTCTGCCTACTCCACGCGCTCTCCTTTGAAGTGACTTCCGATTTGCATATCGTTACTGCATATTTCTTTTATTTCCTTCACTTCCTGGAGATACAGTATATACATATAAACATGAGAGCCAAGCAAATGACCAGTAGATGGAGTCAAAAGCCAGTCGTCCTACAAACTGAACACCTTAATGACACCTCCCTTTAGTGTACTGCTGTGTTCCTGAATTATAAAATAGAAACGGAATAGAAGACATTAAAAAGTCATGAAGTGGCCAGAGATGTCAAGCAGCTTAAATTGGATCCGTCTGGCTCAGACGCTCTTTGCTGGAGTTACCAGGTCCAGCAAGACTAACAAAGACTATTAGGTCGCCTACATGTGATGACAACAATCTCCATTTGACAGATTAGTGTGCAAAACACCGTTCTGAAAAACTAATTGTAGAATTAATTTCAAAATCACTGCCAACTCTAAGTGCAAACTTGGTGGTGGTGCAGACCAGTCGCTCTGGTTTTCACCAAACTGAGCTGGACAAAAGCACCAGGGTTCCTTTTAACCTCACAAACTGGGTGAGAAACTACATGAGAGTCGTTAATTAGCATGTTTTTTATATCTTCTGTGTTTGATCACAGCAAGAAAAAAAATGCAATTGCAAAAATTGCAAGTCATTGCCACATAGTAACGCCGGGCATCTCCGCATGAGAGCCACGCTCGAGTCTTTGTTGAGGTGCCAGAGTATGTCTTGAGTTTTGGGACAACAGGAGAGAATTCACCTAGACTAAAAGATGAAATTAGTTTTTAGCCTTGCTGTTGTTGTGCATCTCTTTAAGGTTATTAAGTCTCTTTGTTTTATTTTGTGTTACTTTGCACTGTTTTTCCATCTGTGCTCATTTTGTCTCTTTGAACCCATTTGTATTCATTTTGCAGCCTGATAATTGTTTGTAGTTACTTACGAAAAGATCTGGTGACTGTGGAGCACATTTGAGTACACTGCCGTGAACATTGCCATGTTCATGAGACAGTTTCAGTTTTATGACATTGTTCGTTGTCCTGCTGGAAGCAGCTGTCAGAAGATGTTCACCGTGGTCAGCAACAGTACTCAGGTAGGCTGTGATGCCCAGAGTGTGCCAGGATAATATCCCCGACCCCATTACAACACTAGCAGCAGCAGCAGCCTGACCCATTAATAAAAAGCAGTCCAGATCCATGCATTCCTGTCATTTATTCCTTAAAAAGAAACCTAATTTAAAGTTCAGGTTGGATACAAGCTTTTCAACGTGCGTTTCAAATTACATTTCGAATAGTAATACTTAAAATATTGTGACAATTTCAATTTCAGCCTAGAGTAGTTTTGACCTTGGGAAGATGAGATGGTAAAAAAAAATAAGCTGAAGCAAAAGCAGCATACAGAATACAAGTGAGAGCATAGCACTATAAAACAAGTATATCACCTTGAGCTAGTTCAAACAGCAGCAGCTTGACTTCTTGTTTATCAGATGTCATCACATCACCTCCGACATGACTGCTCTTTATTGGATCCTGCAAGGAAGACTTTACTGGTCATTTTTGGTCTCTTGCCCCGAGCTACACCTCTTTAAAAGAGATGTAAGTGTTACCAGTGTATGGATTTGGGAGCACAAAAAGGTAAAGGAGGGTTAGGCTGGGCACACATTAAGTTCTCTGCACACCTACCCTACAGATAAAACAGTGACTACAGCAGATTCAAGTCTAAGCAGACAGGGAAGGCTTTATCATTTGAAACCCACAATGCAGTAAGAGTAAAAGAAAAATAGAATAAGAAGCAAAGGATAAAAGCATGCTTTATAAACATTGATGAGATTATTCAAAATGGCAATATAAACATTAGTGACAATAATTATCAGGATCAGTTGTATATATTACCAGTTCAGTGTCACAACTTTTCCACAACTACACAAATAGTCCCTGAGAGCAGTGTGGGGTTGATCTTTGAAAAATACTCACAAGTTTCCCAGTAAAACTGGAAACGTACTTTTGCTTTAAATTGTGCTCGCTTCTTCTGTTGGTATGTTGTATTTGTTGTAACCTTTGCTTCCATGACGGCCAGGTCTCTCTTGGAAAATTAAATCTCGATGAGACTTTTACCTGGATCCATCAGCCCAAGCTGCGAAACACTGCAATTATAAGAAGACACCCATAAGTGATTACATCCAGGAAGTGGTTTTTTGTTGCACTTTTCTTTTTTTTTTAAATTACTGTAATTTTCATGTGCTAAGAATTTAATTTAACTGATTTAAGATCTCACTGCTTCTTACTTAAGGTTTTTTGTCTTTTTTGTGTACAAATAAATTCACATAGAAGGTTCAAACACACAGATCTGTTCATACACACTACTGACTATCACAGCATGACCAATAATGAGCCCTTAAAATACAGTAATTACAGAGTGTACACAGTCTCAGTGGGTACAGTGAGTCACAGGCTCCCAGGTGGTGTGTTTTGGTTGAAAAGCTGCTGCTGTGGCACACTTCTGGATCATCTCAACACTTAAACATTTTTTTTAATCAGTGTGTGATCAAATATGGAACTTTTCCATCTTTTAACTAGCCAGTACTGAGACATTTTTTTCGTAGTGTCTGTCCCAAATTACAGATCCTGATTCTCGTTGATGGTGAGAGAGACCAATGAAATGTTCAGGCTTTTATCTTTAATAGTTTCTCAAATATTCGTGTTCGAGCATTGCCTCAGATTTCAATGTGTGAAAAACAGGAAGTGTGTCAATAAACAACTTTTCAAAATAATCTATCTTGAAAACTATTTGATATATGAAGCCAAAATTTCACAGCAATCATAAATGTTCAAAATTATTTATGCAAATCGATGGTCAAGCAGAAGGCTTGGTTGATTTGAAATGGAACAACCCCCTCTGTCCAATAGAGGCCATGCCCCCGCCCGGAAGCAAAACTTTGTCACTGTGTCCTCTGACGGTGATTATCAAACCCGTGCATGGAAGAAGACTCGTTTAAAGACGAAAAATACAGAAACAATGCATCAAAGTGCATTCTTCCAAGATTTATGCATTCACATGGGATGAATCCCTGTAAAACTCCACATCAAAGACGGCTCCTAGATTGCTGACCGTGTAGCTGGTCAAATTAGGAAAAGCATGAAGTAAGCAGCTCTGCAGTGCAGAGCAGTTAACTAAACTGTGTGGCCCAAACACAACATGCTTAGTGCTGCTGGTGTGGGAAACAACAGCTGGGATTATTCTCCCTGTTCTGTTCTTATGTCACAACATCTGCTTTCTGTGGGTTTTTTTGTTTGTTCACACAACATTTTATGAATAAAATAGCTCACCTGTCTCTCCTCCACTCCTCAGTAGTTCCTCCCCATGCACAGTGGAGTTTTTCACTCTCAAACAGCCACTAAAATTACAAGTTGAGGGGAAGATAAACAAGCGTCTCCATAAACGCAGTTGCATGAAGCTATCATTTATTCAGACCAACAGAAACTATTCTTCTGGTTTCTTTCATTTTGAGAAGAGAGAAAAACATGAAGAGTAAAATATTGAAATAACATTTGAACCAAATAAGTCACTTCCTGCCACTGGAAATGCCCCCGGTCACAACTGTTAGAAATCCCACAATGCACCTGTAAATTTACAGGTCAAATAAACTACCACAAGCTCCCAGAACTGCTGTTTGCAGATGTTACTGCATTTGTGAAATATAGCCTGATTACTGTAAAATAATATATTATTTTATATATATATTGACATCACATCCTTGATGCCACTTTACAGCCACAAGACCTTGTCAAAGCAACACTAACAAAACTGTATAGAGGAATACCCATATTCCCAGGCACACACACTCTCACACACCTTTTGACTAGGTTGTTTCTGTGCACGTTAGCCCTTTTTTGTTTTTAGAAAAACAAAATATGCAAGAAGGATGGAATGACGGCTGAATGAGCAGAATGCCAGAAAAATCTATTCAAATTCTGTTGAATTTGCCAGGGATGTACTTAAAAATGTAAAATCTGCCAATAGACTACAATTACAATGTCACAACTATTTTACAACATACTGACTTAAATGAAACATCACCAACAAAAGGAGTTGGTATCTACAGCAGGAAAATATTGATCTTTAAAGATGAGTAAGAGGCAACAGGAAAAAAGTATGTTACCCTATTTTAAGGGGAGAGGGGGTCGGCTTACCTTATTTAAAGTGAAGATCACAACATCGAGTTTTCTGGGATGCAAACATGTTAATCACCCTGTCGTTGAAGTCAAACGACACCAAGTGCTTTAGAGTCTAAAGCAATGCGGTGTCCTTCATCCAGGTGGCAGGCGATGTTAACTTTACCCTATTTCCAATGTGACTTGTGCTGTGCTTCATTCGTGTTTCCTAATTTTGTCAGATAAATGCTTCAAATCCACAATTCCTTGTTGAATTCAAGCTGTGTCTCCTCCAAAAAGCAGGCATGGGACACAGTAAAGTGAATTCCTGCTTGCCGTTAGCTAGTCCTTTCGTTGAAACCACATAACACAAACTTTACGATTCTGTCGTTTGTGTTATTTGAACATCGTTTCGATGATGTGGTCCCAGTCTCTTAACCTTTTCGTCCAAAGATATAGAAGAAAATATACAACTAAGTAAATAATCCACTTCGGTTATGCTAACGCTCGTCGCTGCCGCCATATTGATTTCGCTTCCCGTCACTCGTTCGCCAAAATTCCCGCCTCTGGGCTGAACAGCAAATTAAGGGGCCGTGACCTGACGCCTGTCACTCACTACTCCATGAAGATGAATGGTAGCTGATGCTTTTTT